TATTTCACGGAAACTCGTTAATTTTCGGTCGACTTCCATGTACGTTCAAACAACTACAGTCATCTAAACTTGTTGCAAGATTTTTGTTATCAGTAGCACGATGTCGTTGTCTTCTGTACTTAAACTTTGAGGGCATAACAAACTCTCGTCATTATTATCATCATTATTAATAGTACTACTTACTCAATGATGATCACCACCATCATTATCAACTACTTTGGTTTCCTGCATTTCAGTTTTTGCTTATTTGGTTTGAAAAATGTTCATCAGAGAAGCTTGCAATCTTTTCTCCAATTTTTGGGAGAATCTGAAATAATAACAATATAATTATGTAATTACTCATGTAGAAATTCATGTTATCAGAAAATGAAAAATTTAATGATTTAGCGCACTAAGCAGCCATAATAATTTAGTAATAATAGCATACTCAAATTCTAAATAAAGTCCCATTCAAATACAATATGTGTTATTTTCATTCTTTATAATGGAAATTAAGAAATCTGGCAAATCAAACCTCACATCTTATGTAAATACAAACACCTTTAATTTTACCTACCTTACTCACTTGGCAACAAAGTCACAAAAGACACTACAATAATTTCGAAATTTGAACAAAAACACAATGAAATAACTAGCCAAGTACTTTCACGACCTCGTCAACGCTTATAAGTACAAGTAGTGTTCTGCCCTTAGTAGATAGATCGCTCTATCATCGCGCCAAAAAAGCTCAGTTAATTCTTGTAACTCACTATGTTCAGACGCGTATCTTGAAGTGTCAGAAGGGCTATAATCTTGTAGCCACATTCTTGAATATGTATTATATTTATTATAGTGCTGTGTATCATGCTTATCATCGTAATAAGTGTATTGTTTTAATTTTCGTAAATCCTTGGAATAACATGCCAACATCACTGCCACCACACCTCTGCATACGTGGAGCTAAATCATGATCGCTCAAGTGTAATGACTATGAAAGCAGTTCGTATACACGTTACACATGGGGAAAACCGCGAAAACACCCATACAGCCAGCCCGTTCGCGGCATTCGAACTCGGACAGAACTACCAGTGTTCAGCGACTTTACCGCTTGGCCGCTGGTGGGCGCTTAGCTCTGGGAAGGCTTCAGTTCTACAGCATTCCCTCCCTGAAGTTGTCTCTGGATAAGATGAATCTTTTGATTCAGATGCTGTCTTCACTTCCAAAGCAGTTGCTGTCACCCAGACGCTATAGTGGTTAGGAGAGCCTACTACGGTAACGAAGGGTCCAGGTTCAAATCCGGGAAAAATGTGGATGTTTCTAAATGTATAGCGTAGGTGTGGTATGGCGGCACTCTAAATATGCGGTGAGCCGAAAGTCCTCTCGTGTGGATTGTTGGAAGGTGAGATGGGAGAAAGACTCCCGAATTTCCCCCGGGTACTCTTCCTCGAAATTGGGGGTGGAAAATAAGAAATCCAACCTCTCATCGGAACAGGATTTGGCAATCATTGTTTCATGTAATACGAACAATACAACAACAAAGCATTTACTGTTGTTTTAATGTGAAATTTAACAAAAACTGTCTTCAATAATCAAACAGGGCAAGTTCCTATAGTTATATTGACAAAATGACTGTTCTCCTTAAAAAATACATGAATAGGAATAAAAAAATATAATCAAAATAATAATAAACATGTAATTTCTTTCGTGCTCCATTTTTCTGCTATGGAAGACTTTAAGAAGTTTACATGCATTTCATCTCTGTAGACTGTTTACATTATATCTACACAATGAACTAAGTGATCGTAAATCAATGAGATCATATTTATGTCAGAACATAGCTAAAGTAGTTCCAGAAGCTCATGAAATTTTCTATTAATATGCAGCTGAACGTATATCCAATTTATCGATTTCATTATCTCCTGAATCAATTTGCAGTAAACGTTCAAAACCAAGGAATTTCTAAAACGAGAAGGGATCAGAACCCTTTAAAAATTACTGATTTAGAAAAAAATGTTAGAATCTAGATTAAAAACCTAACAGATATCGATTTTCTAAAAACGAAAATAGAATGAATATGCACTTATTATAATATTTTTGTTAAAATCAATTATAGAAGAACTATTACAGAAATTTTAAGTATTAAATTTCTTTTGCTTTTCTAAATACTGTAGATTTAGTATTTACAATGGAAGGAAATGTCTATTTCTTTTAAAAAATAATTAAATTTATTTTTAGCGGAAAAATATAATTTTATAGAAATTTGAATTTTACAGTTGATTTGCGTTAGATATGCAGAGAAGTGCCATATTACTCTAAATGATTTTAAAGCTGATATACGATGCACGATTCAAAATCTCATTAAATTTTCATTGACCAATTGAATATTCTTTTACTGCTAACTTTTCTCTGAAAATTAGTAAATCTGACCACCTAACAAAGACCATGGGATGAGTAACATAAACGAAAAAATAAATAATATAAATATTTTTACGTGTGTATGATTTCTTAATGGGTTAAACGCACACAAGACCGATGATAGCTTGATGAAATTTATTTTACTAAAAAAAAAAAACATTTTACAGTTCTGGAAACTTCCACTAAATTACCTGTACAGGTCCTCTCAGTATGAGAGCACATTCAGTGTTTACCACTTCCAACTACTAAAAAGGTTAAATACAATGCAATGCAAAACGCATCTAAAGAGCGAAGCCCATACTTCGATGTCAACTCTGAACTAAGAACTGAGAACTGCCGCTATCTCCAGTCTTATACAGTTTTACCGCAGAAATTTCCAGTCTGTTCCATATCTCGAAATTACTGGAGAACATATATGGTTAAAGTTGCATATGATGGCCGGATACGATTACAGTTACAAAGGCATTCATCCCATTTTCAGTTATATAGGGATCGAAGAAATATATTGCCAAATAATTGCCACGTTTGGTGAATTTTGTCGAAATTTTTGTCCGGTTGGTTGTATAACTGTAATTGTTTTGACTTTTGTTGAAAAATATGAATTGCCAAAACAATCGCCAGCTTGACGTCGTCTCGCCAATTCGGCGAGATTACCTGAAGATTAATTAGACCTGCTTCTGTAGTCGTATTTTTAGGCAAAGCTTCATTTACTATTACGAAATTATTTACATATGTACGAAATTCGTAACAATATACATGGGATTTTTATGCATTTCTAACTTTCATAGTAACTGTGTGTTTTTTAACAAAATGAGAAATTAATTTGCTATGTTATGATATAACACAGCAAATAGTTTAAATGAAACTTATAACTTTTAAAGTGTATTAAATGAATCTCTTGATTCTCTAATGGTAAGCTCAGTTTCGGACGCTTTGGCATAGCATCATAAATGTCCTGTATAAGGCTGTTTGCCAAGGGAAATAGTTTATGAGTACAGTTTCAAAGATAAATTGCAAGGCAAAACAAAAGTGATAATACAGCAATTCACCAATAAGACATTAAACACAAATATTTCTGATTTCTACAGTTTGACGTATTCCTTTACTTGAATTTTATTAGGTAGTGCCAATGTGATTTTTAAAAAATTTAAATTAAGGCAAAATCCAGTTTTTCAAATGTAAATGTTACAATAATAATCTAATAATCTTAATTAAAATGCAGATGCTATTTTCAGTAAAAGAACAGCTTCATCAAAACTGAATTTTCCATTTTTTAATTACTCACAATTAAAAAGAAAATAGCAGTAGAGAAAGGAAAAAAATCAGTGCTTGGGTTATATGCTTTAAAACTGTGTCAGTGATTTTTTACGTAGGTACTGAGATACTACAGCGCTTTCTGTGCGCAACTGTGCAACACTAAAGAAAAATAAGTTTTGAGTAAAGCTTCTAATATAAAATGCTGTATTATGATTGTACCTGTTTATTAATTAAATGCAATACAATGTACACAATGGTAATTAAGTTTACTATTCTTATTATAATTAGTGTTTGTTTTAGATCAATTTAATTGATATTTCTTAAGAACTGATTCATCTGTGTAATTCCCATAATTAAAATAATTCGTTAAGAAGTGCATTTCATAATATTTTGTACAAGACGCAGAATATTTGAAGATATGAAATTATGCTCAAATCCATTAACTTTTATTCTTATCTAAAATAGCTATTAGTTTTTAACCTATGCATCAAAATGATTTCAACTGGCATCATAACACCAGTAACTAAATTCAAGTAAATTCAAATAGTAATTCAAGAATATGGAAGCAAATATGCAACTAATTTTATTAAAACAAATTACAGTATTATCGTAATAAACATTATATTTGAGTACTTAGTTTTTGATAATAATATATACATATTTAAACATATGACTTGAATATAATACGATTTAACTAAATTTGCTACAAAAATAAAATGAACCGATTAAACTCTTTGAAATGCAGAAAATCATAAAATATACTAGCAAAAATATTAATTTCATAAGCGCAGTTTTTAAAAACTCAATTAAAAGATTTTATGAAATCATAAACATCTATATCTGGAATCGATTAATCTTTTAATATATTCCAGGATTCCAAATTAAGAAAACGGTATTAAATATAAGTAATTGCACAATCAAAGGCGGATATTTAAATTAAGTAAACATCTCTCTCATCCTAATGGACTTAATTTCCCTATCAACGCAACACTTAAACACATACTTAATTTTGAATGAGAATGTTGCTTCTAAGACTTACTCATAATTTATAGTTCTTAAAATTTCTCCAGAGCGAATGAGGTCTTCTTTAATAAATTAATTTCTGAATTCCGCTCCGTTATTAATGTTTGCAACGAAAACTCATTACGCGTAATATCTCAAAAATTAAGCTCTTTAAACTCTTGCAATGGCAACTTGCACTTCAGTTAGCAATTATAAATCCACTTGACAGTTCGGGAAAAGCAGTATTTTCTTCGCTGCTTCGGGCCAAGCGGAAGGAAATAACTGCTCTAATTAAAATGTCAGAAGCACTTTTTAATCCGTCACATTCTCTCCCCTCCTTTTGGCAGCTGCTCCCCAGATTCAGACTTCGACCCAGGTGGTGCACGTAAGGAAGTCCGAAGAAGCTCGGTTCTCCTGCTCTGCTTCTGGGGATCCTCCTTTGAACATCGTCTGGAGCAGGGAGGGATTTCCTCTCAGTCTCTATCCAGAGAACAGGTAATAATAACATTTACTGATGATTCGAACTGATAATTTTATTATGCACTACTTAACCGCAGTTGAATTGTTGCAAAAGTTAATTCAAATGTCTTTTAGGCGAAAGGAGTATTTTGAATTTAACATTGGCTTTTTGTATTTTGTTAAAAAGGAGATAAATGAATAATCATATAATTCTGCATTTTGTAAATGTTACCGGCAGAGTTTGAAATCCGGCATTCTATATAATGTCTAGACATTTCATATAATGCCTAAACCTACCCGGCACTGTAAGAAACGATTCATATTTCACACATTTTTCAGAATGCCAAATGACAAATTCACAAAGTATGAAATACATTTCCTATTTTCATTTCGAAGAATGAAACTACTTACCAGAAGTTAGCACTTTGTTGCATACAAATAATCTAGAGAAGTTAAACGAATATGTTTGTATTTTTCTACTTAAAATAACATTAGTAATAATTTAAAAAAAATAAACAAATTTCGTTTTACTTAATTGCTACAGTTTGTTCACTACAGTGGACAGCATGCATATAAATACATGCTTACAAATCTCTTCCCAACGATTTTCGGTCATTGCATTTGAAATCATTTCCTGCCTTGTTTGCAGTGATCATTACCGTCTTCTAAATGGTAAATCTACACCTGACATGTACATACAGATCCCCCAAATTACCTTCATTTCGTCGATTGTGATTGAATTCATTTTGGTACGATTTTGTAACCTGTATCTATTGGATTCAAATGTCAAATGTTCTATAAATTCCTTGCCAAACATAAACATTCCCAGTAGTGTTTTGGCTCGATAAGCAGTACATTTGGGTTTCAATTCACTCTTTTCGATAGATCTTTATCCATCACTCCACAATTTTCTCAAACTGTCATTTTAAATAAAATGTTTAAAATGACTAATTATGAATAAAAATGGCAGTATAAGAAAACGTAAACAATATCATATAATTTTTACTATGAGATATTATACTAACTTGGAAACAGAAGTAGCAGCCATTTTCCAAACAGCAATGCTTTACTTAGTGACGCTATATAGCCATCTATGATCAACAGTTGAAAGTTATAATAATATAGAATGAATAAACACAGGAATGGAATTATTTATAAGGCATTTACAGAAGAATAAACAAATTTAAAATTTTGTCTTCTATATTGGACATGATGCAACAAAGGGTTAATAAATGACGTACAAAGGCCAAAATGACTGCTAAGAAGGAACCACGGTACTACTGCCTGCTGACTCTCTAGGATGTGATGTTTGCGGAAAATAAAAAGTACATTCATTTATCCTGTTAAAAGAAAGCGTCAGTACTATACAGTATTACATCACAGACGCCGTGTTATTTCATGAAACCTCATTTGAGTAGTGGACACAGACGACGTGACAGATTGTTGAAAGAACTTTCAACCAAGTACAAAAACGTTGCACGTAATGATATTGAATTTTACAACCACCTTTGTAAGAGCTGTGCAAGAAAAAACAATAAGGTATTAAAAAGGGTATTGTTTTGAAACTTATATTTGTTTCTAGATTTAATTTCCGTTGTCCGGTAGATCTTACTGATTCCCAGTCTCAGCCAGATAGAAAATACAAATTTATTATAATGTTTAAAGATCATCTCACTATTTTAGTTACAGATTTCGAATAAGAGTTTTCTAATGGCACTCTTTAATTAAATTTTCAAAATAACATTTGTATTTTTGAGGAATGAACGTTCTTTAAATAATAACCCTTATCGTAACTTTTTTTCCATACTTTGCCTGAAGAGCATTTGTCATTCTATAGAATGTCTAGATATTATATACAATACCTAAGAAAAGTATGTAAGGATTCTCATATTTCATACTTTGCCTAAAGAGTATTTGTCATTCTATAGAACGTCTAGGTATTATATACAATACCTAGGAAAAGTATGTAAAAATTTTCATATTTCATACTTTGCCTAAAGAACATTTGTCATTATATAGAATGTCTAGGTATTATATACAATACCTAGGAAATGTATGTAATAATTTCATATTTCATACTTTGCCTAAAGAGCATTTGCCATTCTATAGAATGTCTGGGTATTACATACAATACCTAGGAAAGGTATGTAATAATTCCAATATTTCATACGTTGCATGCAATCGTTCGGCATTCTGTGCAATGCCTAGGCATTCTATAGAATGCCGACGTTTCATACTTTGCTGGCGACATAAACAATAGGTTTCACTTGCTTGACAATTGAAAGTAGCTAACAGAAGCTTCTTTCTAAAATTTATTGTTTAAAATACTGTCGTCAGAGCTAAAGCAGGGTCAAAAATCATTTCCACCTCTTCAGTACCTCATATTTTATTAAACGGGCGAGTTTTTAATATGTCAGAATTGCCTTTATAATTGTTTCATAAAATGCTTCTAAATTAAACAGAGATTTTTTGTGATCTGAGGAAAAATATTAAAAATCGTAACACCAGGAATGAAGCAATATTCGAACTATATGGAATCTTGAAACCGTGCCATCTTCTTATCACAGTTTTAGCCTCACTACATTTTTCTCTAATATTCTGCTTTGTCTGATTGATAATAATGTTGTTTATTTGGTTTTCAAAGATATTTTATTATTAAAGACTGTCTTCCATACAATTGTGTTTTTGTTATTTTTAATATCAGTATATTATAATGCTTTATATTCCTTTCCATGTTCTGGGGTTATTACAGAAAAGATAAGAAATCATAGAAATATAGAAACGTTGTTCAATACTTATATATGTTTATGTACTTTCTATAGCTTCCTAAAATGTAATTAAGCATTGTTATTAAATAAGTCTATAGCTCTCCTCCTCTCCTTTACCTCAATAAAACAAACACATCAGTACCATATTAATGTATTCCATTCATATAAATGCTGCATTTTTAAACCCTGCAGACACTGTACTAAACATTTGTTCCAAATCCATTCTATTTTGCACCATTTAGTTCTTACTAAGCAATATCTTGTGAATTTTTCCAAGAAAAGTAAAATCTCCTTTTTAATATGCGTATCATAAACATTTCGATTTTATTACACACAAAAAGGAGGCCTCTTTCTCAGTCGTTTTCGTAATGTAGATTGAATATGTTTTCTAAAGAATATGCATGTCAGAATTTTATTATTCAAACATTTACAAATCTCTTTCTCTGACCTAGAATCTACAATTTTTTTCAAACGAATAAATAATTTAAATGAATATCGCAGATAATGAATTTTGTTGTAATTGAAGGTGAGAAGTAGAAGTGAAGTGTTGAGGATTATTTATTGTACATATTTTAAAAAAACATTCTAGTATTATGAAACATATTAGCTTAATATAATCAAACTTATTCCTGTAATATGTTTAGCAGTTTTTGTTTTAAATTTTCTTATCATTTAATTGCGTACATATGCTGGATAATATCTCAGCTAATAAATTAATTTCAAGATTAAAAAAATCTTTGAGAATAAAGTAAAAAATATATATTTCTAAAAATTATTCAGCATGTGCTCTTTATAATATTAATAATACGTTTATTATAATATTAATAATAAATATTTATGAATAACACTCAGTTATACCTTTTGTTCCGCAAAAACAGTGCTTTCTTTTTTGCTATAATTTCAAACCCTGCAAGCTACTAATTAAAAAAGTTAAAGACATACGCAATTTAATTTTATCAGATTATCGAAGTATGAATTCTAGTAATATACAGTTTCATGTTCGATGACAGCCTACCAGCAACCGAGCGGTAAAATCGCTGAACACTGGTAGTTCCGACCTGAGTTCGTATCCAAACGAACGGACTGGCTGCATGGGCGTTTCCGTGGTTTGTCCTATGACGTGTTTACGAGCCAGTTTCCCTTAGAACGTCGTCTAGGAAGCCATCCCTTCCCTTAGCCAGATAGCCCTAGTGAGCTTTGCCATAATATACTAAACCCAAACCATGTTTTATGAGCTATCTCACATTATGCATTAATTAATTTTATGTAAGTTCCACAACAGTTTTTGAAGATCTTTAATAATATTGTCTTTTGCGTAACTCATAAAACATTTAATATCAAGAAAACAACTTTCCAAAATGACATTCAAATCTTTATGCTTCGAGGTAACGTTTTGAGGTATTATTATACACTTTTGTTCGATATATTCATTTAAAATCCTATATTGCTTATAGCTCTATACTATTTCAGAAGTATATAAAATAAGATAAGCGGAACTTATATTTTATCCTTTGTCAAATTGGAATAAAACAGATTTTAATCATGTAATTTCCTAGTTTAAATTTCATTTTGAGGTTTTATGAAATGTTATCAAAAATATTAAATTTTCTATAGCAATAAATATTACAATTTATGCACTCGATTAAATTTTATTTAGTACTGAAGTTAAAATACAGTTGTTAAATTTGTATATGATGTACAAATATTATACTTGAAATGTAGCTCAAAGTATAGAGTAAAACATGATTCCATTATTAAAAATTGATAATACTTTAGGAACATTATACACATATTCAAAAATCCTAAAATCTGAAATCATTCATCTATAATGGAAAATAAATTTTTTCTAACGAGATATTTCATGTAATAAGCATTGCAAAGTAAAAACATTTGCTTTCTAAATAATGTTTTTATGAAAAGATTACATTTTTACAGAAATTAATATGTAAAATTAAATCCTAATTTTATACTTGAAAGAAACAGTTGCAAGCTAATTTAAAACCTCAGCAAAATTATATCATAAGTAATCTTTTCTGAATCTGAAAAATAATATAAAAATTATAATACAACGCTTTAAAATTTGTTTGATTTTTGGACTGTATTAAGTTCTGAATCATTACATTCAGTATGTCATTTATAATCCAAAAAGGACTATGAATATGAATCGGATTAATTTCATAAGAAGTTCAGAATTCGTATCCGAAGATTTATTATTTCAATTATTATTAAGCTTATTTTGCGTTACGAATATGTCAGTATTGATTTGCATTGATCATGAAATTTTATGTCAAAGTATCTTAATTTTTAAATTCAGTATTTTGCATTTATTTCAAGATACATTACTCGGGAAAGTGAAGGCAGAGGCACCAAAATATCGGAAGTTATTATAAAATCTACTCTACGTAAAGATTCTGATACCTTTACATGCTCTGCTTCGAATCCCTTCGGAGAGGACAAAACAACAGTCAGACTAATTGTACAAGGTAAATATTGCGAGTGATATATTTTATAAATTGCTTAAATATATTCAAAATATTTAATTAAATTAATGTTAATCTGTTTGATTTGCATGTATAATATTTCAAGATTGAATATTTTTCTCTTTTTCGTGATATTTACATACAGTAAAATTCATATAATAATAAAAGTTATGATTGATTAAAATAAATCTTTGAGAAAATAGCAAGTCCATTTTAGCCAAAAGGGGCGATTTTGCATAGAAGGGCTATTTATTTCGTAATGGCATTTTACGTTGAAAACTTAAATGCGTTAAATCACGTTTCAAATTGTTGCCACCGAATATTACCGCCCTGTATTACATTAAAAAATTAAATAATGAAAAATCTGCATAAATATATCTATGTTTCTCGCATTGTGATAACACAACGGTACCTAGAGACATCAAATTTTGAATAACGTAATCCTCCACCCCAGTATAGGGATTTGAAAGCCCAAACTTGGAACTTATTTTATTATCTATTTCATATTTTGTAAAACTTAAACGAATTTTTGATTAACAAACTCAACGATTTCAAAGCAAAGAAAATCATTTTATTTCCGGCGTGCGAGACAGTGTATCAGAAATTCTAGGGGCCCACCAGCGGCCGAGCGGTAAAGACGCTGAACACTGGTAGTTCGGTCTGAGGTTCGAATCCCGCGAACGGGCTGGCAGCATGGGCGTTTTCGTTCGTGGTTTTCCCCATGTGTAAACGTTATACGAGCCAGTTTCCCTTAGAAAGTCCTCCACGAAAGGCATCCCTCCCTGTAGGCAGATAGCCCTCGTGTGCTTTGCCATAATTAAATACACCAACACCAACACACCAGAAATTCTAGAGATATGTTCTTTTAAAATTATTTTATCATATTGCTCTAGAACTGAATTTTATCGTTTAAGTGTGAAGAAAATTATATTTAATAAATAAAGATAACACACAAAACTCTAAAAACACACCCGTTGGGCGTATTATATATACTGAAAGCTTACAGCCTTTTTTATGAATGTGTAGAATTGTTCAAAATATTATTCATTAGTTTTCGGGGTATTCAATCTGCTGATCCCTAATCACGTAAGTCTGAGTAAGAGAAACGCATTGTATAGTAACGAAATGTGCTTTTAACCTAAAGGTATTGACAAAAGCGTCTTATTTATTAGTAATACTTAATAACAAGGAATAATTTAATGCTTTTATTATTTGTCACGTCACACTTCATTTTTTTTTAACTTTCCACTACTTCTTAATTCGAAATTGACAAAATGAATAGATATAAAATAAAGTGTATTATATTTTGCATTAAATAAGAACTGCAGAGATTTTCATGAATAATTAATTCTAGATGTAATAATAATGGAATACTGTGATTATATTTCGTAGTAAATAAAAACTATATAATAGATAGATGTAGCTATGCAATACAATGTGTTATATTTTGTAGTAAATAACAACTATGAAGATTTGAGTAATTCATTCCAGATGTAGTAAGAATGAAACTGTATATTTTTTGTAATCTTTAGCGAGTATGCTAATTCCTGCTTTCGTTAACAGAAACTATTAATATTACGTGTTTATTTTTCTTAACTTATTCAAAAAAATAATGAAAAGCAGTATTTTTATAGTTTAAAGGAGATTCCCAAACATTAAAAAACTCTTATGCTTCAATTCAAAGTGTCAGTATCATTTCGGCGAAATATAACTTGTTTAACCTGATGGTTCACTTTATATTTCCGCGGAAGATAAGTTTGTTTACCATTTTCCTTTTAAACTCTATGAACTTTCTTTCAGTTTCGACACCTTAAAATAATGAAATTAAAAAAAGACCCGAAATAAAGAAAAGATAAATATTGTTATAATAAAGAAATATATTTTTGAAATGCGACTTTTTTAAATACATATTTGATGAAATTGATGAAGTTAGGCTTACAAGGAAATACTAATATTGCAATAAAACTCAAGTTGTAATTTCCGACATACTGACGTAATAAGGTATTCAGACCTGCAATAAATATTGTTTTAATTTCGCAAGTCCTGATTCACAAAAGCATAATTTTAAAACCCAGACATTTTTTGTAAATATAGAATATAAACTAAATGCAATCTAATAGATTTAATTAATATTTCGGCTTTATAATCACCTCAAAGAGACAGTTTGGCCAGAAAGGCTGTAAATTTCGTTTTGGTATTTTGCATTGATTCATTTGTCAAATTGTTGCCACCAAATATTAGAGCTCTGAAGATTATTTAAAGAAATTAAATAATGAATAATCTGCATGAATGTATGTATGTTTCTCGCACTGTACAAAACAGCGGTACCTAGAGACGTCCAATTCTGAATAACGCAATCCTCCACTCAAATATAGGCATCTGGAAGCCCAAAGTTGGAATTTATTTTAATATGTATTTCAAATTTTATAAAACGTTAACGAATTTTTTATTAACAAACTCAACGATTTCAAAGCGTTCCATTAACGTTAACTATGTGTGCATCTTCATGCACGGATTTTTTTTGCACTATGTTTCTCTTTTTGTGTGATATTGCTGTTGAATTGAATTTTATGGTTTAAGTTAGAAGAACATAATATTGAATAAATTAAGGTAACACACGAAACGCCCCTTTGGGCGTAATATAAAATCTGAAAGCCTTCAGATTTTTGTTATTATTATTAAATAAAACAATTAGCATATTTCATTAAAACTCTTAAGAAACTTCTATTTTTGTGCACACTTCCTTTTTTTAGCAATTCTTTTGACTGAAATTTAAATATTATGCTAAGCATTGCTTAAGCATTTCCACAATCCCTTGAGTACTAAATCAAAATCCCTAAATAATTCAAAATCTGTAATATTTCTCTTTTAAAGCATTAAAAATGAGTTTTCTTAAGAGAAGAACAAAAACATTGTTGAAATTAATTATTAGTTAATTATTATAGCTTCGCTCCAATATTAAAATATTCGGAGGTGGTGTAAATATAGAACAAAACATTTACATATTAGATGAGATTTAACCGAATTCTTGTCTTACATCCGAGACTAAAGTCACTACTTACAGAACAAAGGTAGAAGATAAGACATTCTTTTCTTAGTTTGAGAGATTCGCTTGGCAACGAGTTTAAAAGTCCTCCATTCGTTATCTTTTGCAAACCACACTAGCGAAAGACACAGAGGCTTTAATTTTTATTTTCATTGGCTGAATGGTCGGAGAAACTAATTATTTCTGCCCGAAGTGTTACGGTCTTTGATGTTATCTATGCAGAAGTAGCGATGCTGTCTTTCTAATTAAAAATGGAAGATACCAAGTCGGGTGGCGTGAATCGATGGGGAACAAGCTAACTGAAAAGGGGCAATAATTTTTTCTAAACTTGTTCAGGGTATTTTAGGAATGCATTTCCATTTTTATTTCAGTTAGGAAAACAGTGATTTATTAATAGGATTTGTGCTGTTAAGCAGGAAAAAAAGTATGTTTTAAGTGTATGGTTCCAAATCTGATGCCTATCTTTGTTGAAATGTTCTTCCTAAATGCTACGTAATGTTTCATCTCCAATAATTAGGAATTTTTGTTATCTTCATGGATATTTAACAAAAAAAAAAAAGTTAAATTATATGAGATTAGACGGCTTTGAAATTAGGGCCACAACTTTTCTTTCAAAATGGTTTGGGAAGCAATTGTTTAAAACAAATAAAATGGATGTAAACAAGAAATTAATTTTTCTGCCTTTCGTTTTAGTATTTTTCACCGCTTTTATAACCTTTGAATATTGATTACATGAATTTGTCTTTAAAATGTTAACAACAAAAAGAAATTAAATAATATTTTCTATTATACTTCTTTTTTATGAAGGAGGGAGAATATATAGCATGCATTAACAAATTTTTCGTGGTTCTTTTACCTTTATTTGTAGAACATTATAGAAAGATAAAACTTTATGTTGTGTATGTGAAAATATATCAGATTTATATTATTAAAGCTGTTTAACTTAAGTTAGATTGTGAATTATTTTTTTGAATTTTTACATGTTAACTTTCAAATTCATGTAAGAAATTTTAAATGCAATAGCATGTATTTTTATATATGAAATAATTTGATTTTCTGTGTTAAACTGCAACTTAAACAGTTCTTAACAGACACTGTTAAAATACTTTTGATGAATAAGGTAAATATGTGCTTGACATATTCATCCTAAATATCATGTAAGGTCCCATCCTCATATATTTATATGACTCTAACTAAGCCTAGAAATTCTAAACGAGTATTTTAGTCGAAGAAATTGCGAAATGAGGATAAGGAGTTTACCTATCATACCATATAGCACTATTATATTGTATAATAAACAACGCGGATAATTTCTCTTTATATAAACTGCATAACCACCGCTAATTATCATAACCAAGTTTAACCGAGTGATTTGACTTTAGGCCTGCAACCACTGTAGGACCGCTGCAAATAAATAGACAAAAAATATATTTCGATTTCACTTTCTCCACAATAGTATAGTACTATAGAATACTCTATTTAATCTAATAGAATACTCTATTTAAAACTCTCTATTTAATTATTCTATTAAATTAAATATTTTATCTTTCTTTTCATTCTAATCAGAATCAAATGAAAATTTAAAAAAAATTTTGATATGTAAAAAACGGTATTAACATCAAGGTGTAATCCACTACAAGTTTAAAAAACTGTATTTGAAGTTGAGGAAATGAGTAAAATTATTTTATTAACGATTTAAAATGAATTAATTAATAATTAATTAAATAAAAAATTTAAAGTCAATTCCCCTTAGGTCAACAAGAAACATTTTAAAAATGAAAAAAAAATTTAAAAATACAAAAAAAATTTAATTTAAATTTTTTAAGAAAAAACTGTATTAACATGAAGTGTCATCCACTGCAAGGTAAAAATATGCATTTGAACTTGACTGGTTAAATAAAAAGTATTTTATTAACGATTGAAAATTTTTAAAAAATATAGGGAGAGTGTGAGCTAACAGTAGGAATTTCAAAACCACGCTCTTACCGATTATTCACATACATTTTTAATTTTTGAAAGGTCTATGGAAGATCTTACGTTCCAGGAAGTCTACTTTCAAGTAATTTAATTGTTGTTTACTTCTACTGTTGACATTAGCTCATTTTTTCTTTCAATTAGAGTTTTCTCTAGAGACATAAATACAATCGGAGGAAATTATTTACCTTATCTCTTACTTTGTAAATACACAAAATTATAATAAATTCCGAAATCATTGTATCTGAATACATACAACTGTTACTTCGGTTTCAAAAAATAATTTACACTGAAATTTTCCATCTTTTTTTATTACATTTGCGAGCTGTTTAATCCTGTCGAAATGTATTGAAATTATTAATTGACGGCAATTTTATTTATATTTGTTATTCGGATGGAAATAATTCCCTCATTATATTTTTTAATGTTTTGGTGCGATTATTACTCCTCAATACTTATTTCCCAAAATCAAAATATTCCAGAGCTCTTCTAGATTCTAGATTAACATAATAACAATTTCGTCTTATACTCACAATACCATTCTTCAAATTTTAATGCAGAGCAAATATATTTTTATACTTTATAAAACTATTTTAAAACATATTTTACTCCAAGAATTGTCAACACGCATGAATACTTCTGATTTAATCTAACATACATGTACTAAGTAACTATATCAATATATCCCAGATAAACATATCATTTTGTACAAATCTTGCAAAGAAGCTTGTCCTGAGTCATAAATATATTGGTTAAATCATAGATTTCCACGCATTGCCTGTAGTTTTCAACTATACTTGGAATATAATCTGCTTTACAAAAGCCAATCAGTTTGTAACTCTTCTTGAAGTAACATAATAATTACTAGCTGTCTTACAAATTTGTAAAAACAAATTTTCAAATTTCGTTTTACAAATTTTGAAAACAAATTTTCAAATTTGTAAAAAAAATGGGCAAAAATTAAATAAAATCAAAAACAAATTTTAAAAACAAATTTTCAAATTTGTTTTTAGCCCAAAGTGCGTTAGCCCAGAAGGGTTATTAATTTCGTTTTGGCATTTTGCGTGGATTCACTTTTCAAACTGTTGCCACCAACTATTACAGCCCAGTATTATATTTAAAGAAATTAAGTAATGAAGAATTTACATAAATGTATGTATGTTTCTCACATTGTGATAAAACAACGATACAAAGAGTCATCAAAATTTGAATAGCATAATCCTCCAGCGAATATAGGCATCTGGAAATAGCCCTAATGTGAAATTTGTTTTTTTATCTGTTTCATATTTTATCAGACATGAAGGAATATTTGATTAAGAAAGGATTTCAAGGCGAGGAAGGGCAACACTGTACGAAAAAAAAAAGTTATTTTTATCTCCAGCGCACGAGACTGTGTATGATAAATTCTAAAGATGTTCATTTTATTTTGCGATATTGCTGTTGAACTGAATTTTATGGTTTAAGTTCAAATAACATGATATTTATTAAATATAAGGGTAACACACAAAACATTAAAAAAACGTTCGTTTGGGCGTAATGTATAATCTGAAAGCTTTCAGATTTTTTTTATAAGTTTGAAATTTCAATAAAATAAAACAAATTCAATAAAAATATAATGATATGCACTTTAAAAAAAACGCGTTTGCTTTCATAACTACATATATGTATGGAACAATTAAATGGTCCGAAGAGAGAATTTAGTAGAACCATTCACTAACATTCATGTCTGGAAGTTGCTTCTTTGTAGATAGCTGGAAATGGCAGACATATTAGTGGCATTTTACTCAATGTAACTTTTGAAGTTTCAATAAATCTTGGTAATTCTTACATATTTTATTATTTGATTACTTTATTCAGACATATCGTAGATCATGACACATCATAACGGGGGCAATCTGATCCCCCACAGGTTTTTTAATTGTCACATATTTCATTTCTAATAATGAATGGAAGCAGCCCAGGAAAGATACGTTTAGTTAGTAAACGTAGACAGCTAAAGAGAGAGCGCAAATAGTGGCGGGAGTATTTATATCTCAGAGCGCGTCGTGTTAATCCTGCTCAGCAACTGGGCAAGATTTCCGTGTACAAAATTCTCGAATGCTTATTGCATCCATAATCACGTGTGAAACTAATATTATATCTCCAGAAATTCTTTATCCAATAATAAAATTATGTTTAATTCGGCTACCTCTGTCTGCAAATCCATAATTCCAACCACTGTGATTTTCTTACAGCTATTACCTGTAAAGTTATTTCGACCATGACAAAAAAAGTGAATTAATTCCATCTTCCTTAAGCAACTAGCTAATGCTCTACTATGTCCTGTTGATGGATATATTTGATGGAAATTATGTATGAAATATGACATCAGACAAATGTCCACCATTTTTCTCGATACAGAGATTGACTCTTTTTAACGCGTTTTCCATTACACCATGTATAATAAATTTCCATGAATTCAGTTATAACCTACAGAAATAAAAAGTAATTAAATTAAAAACTAAAAAAGTTATTTCTGTATTACCAATGTTAACATTGGCAGGTTTTATTTGGCCCAACCTGTATGTTGTCTGCAGTCAGTTTTCAACTGATTAAGAAGCTTAAATTTCCGTTTTTGTCTGGTCTGTCTCGATAACGGAAATTAAATCTTAATTTTCAAACCTAAAAAATGCTTCTACTTCACTTTCGCTTTAATGTTTAAAGATATCCTAAACCTTGCTATAAAACATACTTAGTTTCATACGTACTTTCTAAAAATATTGGAGTATTATTGTCAGTATATTATATCTTATAAAGCAAATTTTAATGCAATAATTTTTTATACTGAACAAGTGGGTGTCAATGTATTAAATTAAATTTTAATCTTGAGTTAAATAAAACTCTGATGTGATAAAACATTTATCTTTATTTTGTTACCTCATAATTGAGAAACGTGATGCTTGAAGATTACTTTGTGATATTCATATTTAAGTAATGAATTAAACCAAGCTGTTAACTTTAGATATCCTCGAGGCAAGTGACATGTAGTTAACTGTTATTTCTTTGAACAGAGCCTCCTGATCCACCTCAGGACTTAAAACCATTAGAAGTGACAAGCAACTCTATAAGCCTTTCTTGGAATCCTGGCCATCCCGGAAATAATCCGATTACATCTTACATCATCAGCTACAGACCAGACACAGGTAACTTGGAAACTTTCTGATGTTTTTTCTTAAGGAGTAATCAATGAAAAAATATTTTAATTACTATTGTGTAGACTCCTCCCTCATTTTTTAAATCTGGAAATTAAGGAATATGTATTCTTAAATATTGATTTCTTTTGATTTATACATTCACTGATATATATGTAATAAATTCAGGAGCAGGAATTTTCATGGCGTAGAAATGTTGATCCATAGGAAATTGAAGGCGAAGGTAGATTAAATCTTCAATTTTATTTTCAGCAACATATTGCGATTACACACAAGCCGGCACATTAACTGTGATTGTTCCGAACGGCTTACATTTTTTATAACTTTGTAGCAAGAACGCAGCAGCAGACAGACAAAAGTGCAGCTAAGGCAAAGCGTAGAAAGAAAGTGCGTAATGTTCAGGATTAAATGTGAAGTCAATCTGAGTTAGTTTTGGTTCTCAAAGCTTTCTGATTGGATAGTTAATATTGCTCTAAAATTACTATCGGGTGGTTGAGTTTTAGTTCCATTTACATCATCATAATAACGCAAGAATCATATGACATAGAATAGTCTGGAAATGACGCAGTGCGGAGAGGGATTACTATTTTAGAATAGAGAAGGGAAATTTACGTTATATTCGTTTATATTGAGAAAATATTCAGCATTACTTTATAAATCTGCAAGTTGATTTGTTTTCAGAGGAATGACATATTTGATATTTGTATTTACATTCTTGCTGATAGACCTCAGATTTTTGACAGTTAAAAAAAAAAAACTAAATTCGATTGTAGAATCATTAGGTTATTTTGAAGCAGAAGACGGGGAAAATGTTCAATGCCCACGTCAGGACTCAAACGCTGCACCTTCTGAATACGCTTCCGTTGAGTATGCTAGTAAACTATTAGAAGATGTTAAACCCAAAGCAATGCAAAGCACACCTAAAGAGCGAAGCTAACCCGGAAATATCTCAGTAATCTGAACTTACGCTGAAATAAAAAAATGAGGAACTGATGCTCTTGTCGGTCTCATATATTTTTCTACCGGCCGCCGAGAAATTGCTAGTACTTTCTGCTTCTCAAAATTACTGGAAGGCATATGAAGGTTGGATAATGTTATAGTTGCATTTAAAATCAATTGCAGCTTTTAATTACCACACCTATTATGGTGATACCAGGACCAAAATGTCTCCAGGTTGTAGCCAAATTCAGATACTTTTGGTGATTTCTCGCCAATTAGCAAGATTCCACTCAATATTAAATTGATTTGTCCCTGTATTCTTATTTTTAAGGCAGAGCATCTTTTCTCTCAACTTTTCATGTTAGATTATGCGGAAAAATACAACAATTTCGCCATCCGGAAAGAAGGAAGAATATACCTTATATACTTCATCTTTTAAAGGGCGACTGGGCTTAGGGAACCCACCCACCAAATCCTGCCTGTGACGAATTATCATCCACCCCCTTTTAGTTCGGGAACTACATTGTACAGTCATCGGGTTCCTTTTGAAACAGAAAATGTAAGAACTGTGCTATGCCCTCTCCGGAACTAGAACTCTATACCTCTTGAATACGCATCGAATATGCTTCCAATTACACCACGCAGGCAGGAGGGAAATGAGAGACAGAATATCTTATAGCTTTATAGAAACCGTACATTCAAATTGGTTAAAGAGCGTTAGTCGTAAAATCATTCAAAAAAAAAAAAAAAAAAAAAAAAAAAAAAAAAAAAGTTAAAAGAAGTTCAGAAAGAAGTGATTTTATGTAAAACAACAAAAGGTTTTAAAGAAACACTAATGACTGAAGATATCTTTATACGTTAGTGAACTGTTAGATAGTCACTTACGGGTAATATTTAAAACTACACTGATGAAATAAATTAAGAGAATTTTCATATTTTTTTCGAATTGCATGAAAATAACTGAACTGATGTAGATAAAACACTTCTTCTAGATAAAAATGCATATCTTGTACGGCAAATACGTAAGCGTACACGTATGTGTAGGTGGAGACAGCAGAAAAATAGGCTTTATAAGCGAGTGGAGGGTAGGACGAATAGCGTTCGCTAGCACACCTCGACGAATTTCTTGGTGTTATCTTGCAGCAACCGGTTAAATTCATATCGGAACAGTACAAATGAGTAACTACCAATGTTTTAGATGATGAAATGAGATGGCAAATTATCTTAAGGCTAGAGGAGGGCCAATCGCAAGTCCAGATAGTTTAATTTAACGCCCAACGTAACAAGGGGGACTGTTTCCAAAGGCTGAATGAGAGAGGGTTGTTTGCTAGAAGACCGCTTGTTTGCACCCCGTTCAAGTCTACGGAGAGAAGAGTCTGGTTAGCATGGAGCAGGTAACGTAGTGATTGGAGTACGGAGCAGTGGTAGACCGTTCTGTTTAATGACGAGTCCCGTTTTAGCTTAAAAACCGTTTCTCGCCGTACTTTCATATGGAGAGAGCCACGGACCCGCTACCAACCGTCCAATGTCCACGAAATCAACAATTATGGCGGTGGCGGTGTGATGGTCTGGCAGGCATCATGTTGGATGGCCGCATACCTCTCCATGTCTTTGACAGAGGCTCTGTGACTGGTATGAAGTATAGGAATGAGGTCTTGGAACGCTATGTTCGCCTTTTCCGGGGTGCAGTGGGCCCTGAGTTCAGCTTACAGGACGATAACGCGAGGCCACATAGAACTGTTCTTATCGACGAATTTCTAGAGAGTGAGGATATTCGCAGGGTGGATTGGCCACCCAGGTCTCCAGATTTTAATCCTATGAAGCATGTATGAGACGCTCTGGGGCGGGCAATTGTATCTCGCAACCCCCCCTCCGAGAACCATCCAGGAGCTAATCACAGCGTTGCTGAATGAGTGGAACCAATTGCCACAGGTACTGATAAACTGCCTTATTTCCAGTATGACATCACACTGCGAGGCCTGTATGGCTGCAATTGGGGACCATACTCCCTATTAACCCATTTCTTTTGTGTCTTCTGCAACAGCTGTTTCAGACCTTTAGACTCCCATGAGTGTTACGTACGAACATGTATGTCTATTATAACTGTTGAATTTTTATTTTGTTTGTATTATACCAGCCTATGTTCATACCAAATTTTATTAAAATCTGTCCAGTAGTTCTGGAGATCGTAGATCAAATATGGAAATTCTCTTAATATGTTTAACCAGTGTATATAACCATGATGACTTCTGAAGTTGTAAGGTATTTCTCCCGCCTTCTTAGCACGCCTTCGTGGTTTTGTGGTCAGCATGCTCGACGCGTATTCGAGAGGTCCGTGGTTCGATTCCCGGCGAGGGCATTGCTCATTGTTCATTCCCTGCTTTCAAAATACCTAATGTCTCTACAAAGTTTTGAAATGTAAATACTTATTAAAGGTAACATTTGTTGCATAATATGCTACAACAGTATTGATTTGCAATATGTGGTAATAAGCTGCGCAGAAATTTGATTATGAACGGAAACATTAATTTCATATTCATACATTTAAAATTCGGGTATGTTTCACTACATTTATTAATATAGAAAACGGTTCTTTGTAAAAATAAATTGTATATCATATAGCTTTCATTTATTATGTATATTTTAATGTATATTCCTACATCTGCAGAAAGGAAATCATTACAAACTGCTAAAGGAACATAAGTCAAAAGATTTATGTTAACAGGAACAAGGTAAAACGATAGTGCTTTCCTTTTGAACAATTTTCGCTAACAAGACATAGTAATAGCTCCATAAATCATTTACGTATACTGCTCTTATGATGGTCATTATGCTAAACATTTGACTTACACCAATAAGAAGTATTTGTTTTTTCTTTTTCAGCTCATTATTTGGATAACATCAAATGAAATGCGTTGCATTTCATGTTTGTGAAGGACCTTAATTAAGTAGATTGATAGTTACTTCAAAACGTATGGTTAATTTAAATTGCAGTGATAATCGTTATTACACTAAATTACATAAAACTACATGTATGAGCTATTTGAATTTCAAAGATCAGAACGTTTATAAATGCTTCTTTAAATCTTTCCTTTAGTTAACTTTTAATAGTGGCTATATTATTATTTTTTAAATGAACAAAAAGATGAAAGTATTTTCATGCAAAGAATGAACTTTTTTATAGATCAAAGAACTCCAAAATTTAAGTTAAAAGTGTGTTATGCTCTGTACGTAGTGTTCCACAGTGAAGCGGGAAATTTTTTAAGTACCCAGAGTTTTCATTAAATATTCATTATCATATTTTTTGTAGATCTGAACTGCCATTTTATGGTATGCCATTTTATTGCCATTTTATTTTTTAAAAAATAACGTCACTCAAGTAAGAACTATTTCTGTGTAAACATTCTTCTAATCTTGACAAAAAGTTTTCCATTGCTTTACGAAGCAGATCATATTGAATACCTGCAATTTGTGGTCTGATATTCGTTTTTAATTCTATTATGGTTACTAACAATGCATACCCTGCTCTTCAGAAGTACCCCAAGAAAAACGTGGCATGCGGACAAATCTTCGAATCTTGCAGTGCACAAGATGTCGCCATGTTTAGACATGAGTCTGTCCGAGAAGTGTTATCTTAACGCAGCCATGGACACACGATGAATTTAACCTTGGAAAACCTTGGGGCCCTACCCTTGGAAAAACAATTATTTTCGGAAACCTAGGGAGATGTGTCATCAAAAAAGTTCTGAACATGTGTATGTAGCAGTCTGCATTAGCAGCTGTGGTGTTTACTTTTTCTTCCTGAAAGCCATTTGGCTGAATAATGCTAGATAATGAAAGCACGCGGAGCTTTCGGAGTATGTAATTGCTTTTCATGCAACTTACTTGGACTTTCAATATCGACATTCCAGTATGGACTTCCACATAAAGCCACAATTCTTGTACAACGAATTTAGGCAGAAATCACACTGTACACCTGAACATCGCACTAGGTTTAACAAATAGCATGAAATGCTTAATAATAATCTGAAAAACTTCACGCGCCTTGAGAC